AAAAAAAAAAAAAAATTCACACACACACACAAAAAAAAAAAAAAAACCGGGGGAAGGGGGGAAGAAAATATAACAACTACAATTCCTTGAAGTTGATATGACAAGCAAACAGAAAGGACATCGTTGGGTGGGAGGGAGGAGGGAGGAGGGAGGGAGGAGGGAGGGAGGTTTTGGTAATGGGCCACATTAATCAACCACATTGTATATCGAGAAAATAAATTAATAAATAAATAAATAAATAAAAATAAAATAAAATAAAAAACATTACTTCTGGGTGTGTCTGTTGAAGTGTTTCCAGAACAGATTACCATTTAAATTTGTGGACTGAGAAAAATAGATGGCCCTCCCTGGTGTGGGTGGGCATCATCCATTCTGTTGAGGGTCTAAATAGAACAAAAAGGAAAAGGAAGTTTCAATTTACTCTGCCCAACTGCTTGAGTTGGGACATTGATCTTCTGCTGTCAGCGCTCCTGGTTCTCAGGCTTTCAGACTTGCTTGGACTGGAATTTACACTATCGGCTCTCTGGCTCTCAGGCCTTAGAACTATGCCACAGGCTTTGCTGGGTCTACAGCTTACAAACAGCAGATTGTGAGACAGCTTCCATAAACACATGAGCCAATACCTTATAATAAATCTCGATTAGATAGATGATAGATAGATAGATAGATAGATAGATAGATAGATAGATAGATAGATAGATAGATACATAGATAGATAGATAGATGGATGAATCACATGGACCACAATTTTTGGCCTTTCTAAACTTTGGTCCTGTTTAACTGGAGCAAGCAACACTTTAGTAACACTGTAACATCTCAAGCTGCTCCTCACAACCAGGGGAGAAAAGTCAGGGAAGGGTCCTATTTGATTAGCTCTGTTCAGGTAAGGTCATATACCATTCTTTACACAAGGGGCATGTCATTAGGGGACATATCCCACACATCAGGGTTTTTATCTGGTACTGCTCCAGCCTTAACCTCAATAGAGTCCACCTCCTCCTGGGAGACCTCCTCCAAGGTCATTAGTAACCACCTCAGAATTATCCCTGAAGAACTGATCACTAACCCCCACCTCAGGTCTCTGGTTCCTATTGAATCTATTCTGAAGATTCTCAGGAACTTAATCAGAGGAACTAGTATTTTAGCCTTCCTACAGTGGAAGGCCTCTCCTAAGTGACTCCAACGCTCTTAGAAACAATCTTGGAATACCTTCCTAGCTGACATCCCCCACCCCCAGGTCTCCATTCTCAGGAATATAACTTTTTAAACCCTTGGCTTGGCAGGTTTTTTTGCAACTAGTCAGTGACCCACAATCCTAGTCCTTGAAGATGACTGGTCAGCTGTCATGTCCCAAGAGGGCATTCTCCCACCTCTGAGGTGAGTCTTGGTTCTCTGATTCCTTGGTTTGTTTCCAGTTACTGCACCAATTATCAAGCAGATGATAAAAACAAAGGCAGCTGATCAGGCAACATATACTCCAGGCCTTCTGAAATCTTAGGTTATTGGTAGAAACTCATGGTTATAGGAACAATAGCGAGTGTGTGGAAACTCCAATGCCCATCATCTTCTGGAGCAGAGACCGTGTGGGACCAGGATGTCATATTCCAGGAGGATACCAGGCCTTGAGCTGTGGTGTTTGTAATTTGCATATGTAGGAAACACTAGCCTTCTCTAATATGATCAAGTGCTGGGATCCAATAATAGTACATGACAGAACACTGGCCTCTAGTTCCACCTTAGAGAAGCACTTTCTCTGGTGTGATCAGAGCTAGGACTCAAGCCTTCTGGTAGTAGCTGTATGATGCGACAGACCTGCGGCCTGATTAGCCACCTGAGAATTCTACCAGGCTTGACTGCATTTGGCTGTAGCCAGTTATGACAGAGCCCTGCAGAAAATGAACTCCTTTGGGAGGCCAGTCAGGGGGTTAGTCTTGGACAAGCTAAAACATTCCTCTCAAGTACATACAGCACCAATACTATGTGAACAAGAGCTACACACAACTACATATATATATCTTAAAGACATAATCTTGAATGGAAAAAACAGGCAAGGGCCGGCCCGGTGGCGCACTGCTACAGTGCGCCGCTTGGGAGCATGGTGGCGCTCCCGCCGAGGGTTCGGATCCCACATACAGACCGGTTCCCGCTCGCTGGCTGAGCGAGGTGTGGGAGCAACGCCGAGGGTTGCGATCCTGTTGCCGGTCCTGGTCCGGTACGGGTGCGACACTGAGGGTTGCGATCCGTTGCTGGACACGAAAAAAGACAAAAAAAAAAAAAAACAGGCAAGAAATAACATCTATTATGTATGTTTATTTAAAGTTCAGAAACTGGCAGAACTAAACTGTTTGGAAATACATATGAATGTGATAAAAGTATGAAGAGATGCAAAAAAGTGATTTTTTTTTTTTTTTCTTTAAAGATGACCGGTAAGGGGATCTCAACCCTTGGCTTGGTGTTGTCAGCACAACGCTCAGCCAGTGAGCAAACCGGCCATCCCTATATAGGATCCGAACCCGCGGCCTTGGTGTTATCAGCACCGCACTCTACCAAGTGAGCCACGGGCTGGCCTGCAAAAAAGTGATTTTAATAAAAGTGAGGAGAGTGGTTACCTCTTGGAGTGGGAACTATAATGAGAAAGGGAATGATAAGATAGAGAAGGTTCTAGGGTACTGGCAGTACTCTATTTCTTGATTTATGTGTGTTTATAATTCTTCTTTAAACAGTACAAATGTTTTTGGCCCATTTCTCTCAATTAATTTATATTTAAACTAAAAGTGTTAAGAACTGTTGGTGGGACTGTAAATTAGTACAGCCATTATGGAAAACAGTATGGAGGTTCCTCAAACAACTACAGATAGAACTACCACATGATCCAGCAATCCCACCACTGGGTATATATCCAAAGGAATGGAAATCATCATGTCAAAGGGACACCTGAACTCCCACGTTCATTGCAGCTCTATTTACAATAGTGAAGAGTTGGAACCAAACTAAATGTCCATCAATGATGACTGGATAAGGTAAAATATGGTTTATATAGACAATGGAATACTCCTCTGCCATAATAAAGAATGAAATTCTGCCATGTGCAGCAACATGGATGAATCTGGATAAAATTATGTTAAGTGAAGGGGAGAACTTTGAGAAGGAGAGAACAAACCTGAGGATTCTAGAGATGGAGAAGGAGGGAGAGGGTTTGGGGAGTGATAGGTTGGGTAAAGGGCCATAAAGAAAAATCAGGATTTGTAATAATGAATATGCTAAAAATAAATAATAAAAATTTTTAAATGTATCATTGATTGAGAATTAAATAAATAAATAAGTGTTGAGAAGAAAGAACACACACTGAAGTGTACAGTGGTAAACGGGCATCCTATCAGGAATTTATCCTCAAATGGCTCAGGAAAAACTATTATTCATATTTTGTACAAAAAATGAGAAAAGAAAGGAAGGGAAGAAAGAAAGGCACACTCCAAGTAGAATATTTTCATCTCCTTTTATTGAAGGAAATAGAAACTTATGCTGCAGAGGCAGTGATACCTCAGAGCATGACAAGGTAGTCAATGGGGCTGACATGACAAGCCACAATGATGGCCAGGTGTCCTACCATAGTGGAAGGACCAAAACCACAAAGATAGCAGGAGGTAGCAAACATCCCCAATACCCAGTGTAAGCATTTTAATATGCAGATAGCTTGGCCATGCATCTTAAAAACAGGGTCCCCTGACTGACAGCTGGCAGGGTTTCATTTCAAGCCACCAAATCCATCCAAAACTAACATGTAGTCTCTGATTTGGAGACTCTTTCCTTGGACCCAGAGATTCAGGCCATATGAAGATCTGAGTTAATCTTTCAGTGTCTTATCCCAGGTGGAAAAACAGGCTGAGTTCTTGAAACATAACACAAGTGTAACTAGACAGGAGCTGATGCCCAGCCCCGCTCTAAAAGTGGCAACATTATTCCCCCTGACTTCTCACACTGCTCTCACTCGGCATGTGCCCTAGGAAACCTTTCAATGCTATAAACAAGGACAGAATGGGGGCAGCAGCCTAGGGGATGCAGGGAATCAAAAGCTGCTACATAACCAAGACCGTTTCACAAGAAATAGCATGGGAATACTATCGGGTCAAGGCCGTCCCAATCAGTTGCTAGAAGCACACACAAAGAAAAATGTGGTAGTTCTCCCATATCAGGATCAGCTGTGCCAAAGTCGTGGTCCAGGAAATTGAGACTCTATGTCCCTGGAGTATTAACAAACCCCACGGCATTCCCAAGCTGTTCCAGTTTTCAAGTACAATATGCTGTTTGGGCAGTTCAATCACAGAAAAGCAAGCATTAAAGAAATCTCAGACCAATTACAAATTGATAATGTTACCAAACCGTGAACTTATATAGTCAAGAACTGATTGTGGGGAATAGGGTGGTGGGAGTGGGTGGAAGTTTTCCTATGTAAAAATAGAAGTCCAAGGGTTTATTCATATAAACCTTTGACTATAAACCACTCTCACATCCACAAACTGGAAGGAAATTCCTTATTTAGAAATAGCCATCATCTGATTAGTCATCCAGTTGCAGTTCTCGTCAATGCCGGACACATGGTTTCCAAGAATCAGTTTTGAGAGCATTAGCTCAGGAAATGGGAGAAGCAAGGCAAGGAGAAGAGGGCATCAGGGGTTGGAATTTCTGAAATGAACATTTATTTCACAGAAGGCTTGACACAATGAGGCTGGGGTGAGTGTGGTTTTAGTGATTGTTCTTGGTTGCCTCCTTTGCTGCAGCAATCAGTGGAGTGAGGCTGGACAGAGGCTTGGCAATCTTCAGGAACTGATGCTAAAAGGAGAAAAAGAGCAAAAGACACATGACTATTTAACACTCTTCCTTAGCAATCATTACAAGACATAAGAGCATCCATGTTTGTACAAGGTGCTGCCTGGAGAGTTTCAGATCATCCCCAAATTGAAGGATATCTTTAAAAGATAACAAACCACTTTGGAAAACTGTTTGGCACTATCTACCTACAGATAAACATACATCTACACTATATCCCAGCAATTCCAATCCTAAGTATATTCCTAAGAGAAATGAATATGTGTATTCACCAAAAGACACAAGAATATTGACAGAAGCTTTACTGATATAATAGTGAATAACTTGAAAGAACCCAAATGTCCAAGAGAATGGAAAACCAACAGTGTTATATTCATATAATACTATACAGAAAATCACACAGCAATAAAAAATGAATAAATAATCGATGCACTGACCACAAGATGAATTGCACAAACATGGTAGGTAAAAGAAGACGGACACAAGAAGCCAATTCATATTGTAAGATTCCATTTCTTATTAGGTAAGAAGACCAAACTATGGTGACAATCAGAATAATAATTACCTCTGGGGATGGTATTAACTGATCATGACCTAATGGTACATTGCAATCATGGATTTCAGGAGCACTGATGTAGGAATTTGTTGTTCTATCCTTGAATCCAGTAAGGATTTCAATAGCTTGGTCCTTTCCCAAGTCACTTTCACTGAGCTGTATACTTTGGGCCATACCTTCAACTTTTAAAGAAGACCACTTAGGAGAAAATACCATATGAAAACTGCATCTACATGTTCAATAAAACAATTATGGAAAAAAATTCTTTATGTAACTGTGCTTCTTATCTAAAAATATACATATATATATGTTTTACATTTAGTAGTGGAAGAGCTTTGTGTTGAGGATGTGGGATGTTTCTTCCATTTGATAAGAAATACAGGAACTATCACATTTCCTTTTCTGTCCTGGCTATCGGTAAACTAAAAACCAAATTTTATATTTAAGCATAACTATTTAACTTAAATGACTAGCATATCTAATTCTACTGCCACACTTATCATCCCTTTGATTAGTCATACTGTATATGTGTACAGTACGTACACACACACACAGAACGTACACAAATATTCTTTGCTGAAAGTTGCCTCAACTTCTATTGGACAGAGATGGGGTACAAAGAGGTACTGAGAATAAGAGATGAAAATAATAAAAGATCTTGGTTAACTCATGAAGTTATGAATTCTAATGTTATCAACCTATGTATTTCTGTCCATAAATGTGTTCTCACAGGAGAAACTGATGTGAAATCTTCATGATTTAAGATTCTGAAAGTCATGGTTTAGAAAATTTACAATGTACACTAACAAGTTAACGAGCCTATATATGATCACATGCTTCTACAACCCCTCTCTGAGTTAAGAGAGCAGCATAATCCAATACCCAATTGGGAGGCCTTAGTTTCTTTCTCTGTATAATGAACAAAGTAGATTAGATAAGCCCTAAGAACCTTCCAGTTCTGATACTCTTTGAGCCTATAAGAGCAGTGAGCACACACACTTAAGAGCCAAACGGACATATGTTAAAATCCTCCACCACTCATCAGATGTACACATATAATCATGGAAAAGTTAATAAATGCTCACCTGTAAAAATGGGAATAACAGAACCTATATAACTCACGGGGTTGTTCTGAACAATAGATAAAAAATATATATAAAGTGCTTGGTGGCTAAAACGTGGTAAAGATTCAATATAATGCATTTATTATTAGTTATATTACTATATCGGGAAGAAAATTCTAGAGGGCACTAACTTTCAATAACTACAATTTGATACCAATTAATTAAGCCTTATATCTTCACCAATCACAGGCTTAGCATAGTATTTGCACATTTCCCAATGCCTGTGGTTTTCAGAACATAATGCATATGAAAGGCAAAAGGGATCCTATATTGTACTGTTACAAGAGTTTTTTTAGTCCCAAAGGATCCTAGAGACTAATTGGTTATACGTGGCAGAACCCAGATCTCATATCTAATAAGCCAGCACATTGTAATTGGTAACTTCAATGACAGATGTTAACTATGTTCCAGAGGGTGATATTCCTATGGAGGTACATAACTTTAAGCAATTCCATTCAATTCAATAAATATTTTCCAAGTACCTATTCTGAGTCAGGTCCCAAGTATAAGAAGAGACTCAAGAGACTACTAAAATAGAGATTTTAGTCCAGTGGGAGAGGATAGAGATGTTCATAACTAACTTTAACACAGGGCCGTGTACTAGATCTTTCCCTGCCCAGTCACTCTTGGGCCTCAATATAAAAGTAACTGACAGCACATGCCTACAGATCAATCACTATCATAAAGTTCACGTGATACTTACTATTAAATTACCAGTGGGCAATGCAATAAAATGACAATAATAAGAAATTTTACTTGAAACATAAATATTAAATACAAATGATGTGGCCTGCTAAAGGCAATTTTTGTAATCATACAGAATAATTATGCTGTAACTTCAGGATTAAGCAGGTGGGAATATAAAAGGCTTGGTAAACTCAACTATGGGCTTCCCCACAACGTGACATAATCTCACTGCAAACAAGCAGAATATCATTGCCACCATCTGAGAGGGTTTCCAATGAAGAAACTGTGAAGAGTTCAAAAGCCGCACTCACTACCCTCTAAACTTATGTTTCTTTAGTAAAAATGTATCTGTTGAGCTTATCCCAGTAAAATATAACTTGTGCAAGATTTAAGTGTGAGAAAGCTCCTTCTCACCCAAACTCAAACTCTGCCAGACTAACTCAGTCAGAACAAAGAAAGTGCTAAAGAAAGACAGTGGCAAAATTCAATAGGTGCTCAGAAAGTAGATTTTAGGCTAAGCCTAGGAGAATGGGTAGAGTTTTAATAGGCTGAGGAAGAGGCTAAAGGAATAATATAAGCAAAGGACCCAGGAATGAAGGTTACGAATATAGCATGAGTATGGGAAATGGTAGAAGAGAAGCATAGTTCTACAATAACCAGTACCTTAAAATGAGGTTAAAAAGGTTTGGCTTAGTGACTCCTCAAATTAGGTACTTCCTTGCACAGGGACAGTTACCTGCAGCAGCTCTTTAGCTGAACCTCTCTTCTCCACATCCATCTCAAGACAACGGTTCAGAAAATCTCGGAAGATAGCAGACAGCTTCTCTGGGTTCTGAAGCTCTGGGGTCCCATTGGTGGCAATGAGGTACAAGGCCTGGCAATACAAGTGGAGAATCACCTTGAGCTCCAACTGATGTTCCCTCTTGGTCCCCAGACATGCCCTTTAGTTATATGGTCAGCTGCTTTATGCTCTAGTATACAGAGAGGCAGCTTTGGTATACTGGAAAGAATATGACCTAAGGTTTAACATTTAAAGGCCATGTGACCATGAACCATGAACTTCCAACTTCCTCATCTGTAAAACAGGGATGATAACATGCCCATCTAACATATCTGTAAAAATAAGACAATGCATTTGAAAAGTACTTTGTAAACTTACAAAGTATATTACACCTAAGGGTTTATTATTATTCTTGATTACAGATTTAAAGGGTTTATTATTCATTTAGCCTGATGAGTTAAACATCTGCCTAGTTGCTGGCAGAAATTATTCCTGGTGCTTTCACCTCAGTCATCCAAGAACTGATCTCTGCCAGCAGGAAATGAATATAAAAAGGTAAGTGTTCTGTTTCACTGTTGCCTCCCTGGTCCCCTAACATGAAGCATCTCCTGGGAAAGGTAAAGAAAAACATAGTAATACTAAACCTTTACAAGCACTCAGCACTTTAATTCACAAAGCATTTACACAAGCTCTGTCTAATTTAATAACTACAATAACTCTGGGCAATAGACAGGGCAAGAATTACCCATTTCACAGATATGGTCCAGAAACATAAAGAGATACGTCTAGGATCATGCTATTCATATATGCATAATGACCCTATCCCAGTCTTATTTCCATCACATCCCACAGATCATTATCTTCAAATCTCTGCAAGGCCTTCTAAGGCAGGGAAAGATATGCTGTATGAGGGGTCAAAGGGCAGAGCTAGATCAAAGGGTAGAAACTACAAAAGATAGTCTCAGTTTGGTACACTGAAGCACTTTCCAATAATCAGAGCTATCCAAAGGTGACATGATCATGTACCAGCAACAATGCACAGGGAATTCCTGCACTGGATGGGAGGCTGGAGTAAATGAGAAAATAAAAGCCATCAGAATAACTTTCACAGCTGCAAACAACCAAAATTACCAGCCTACTTGAATCTGTGCTGATACACTCTGCTTTCCTCTCCTATTACAATGGATAAATTCTCCATGCTCTAATCTAATGCCCTTTACTTCAGTTCTTGAGCCAGCCCCTCTCATCTACTTAAGGACATCACTCCTGCAGTTGTCACTTCTCTCTTGTACATGACCATTTTCCTCCTCTCCACTAGATCATTTCCATTAGCATATAAACATCATCTTTTTAAAAACCCTCTCCTGACTCTACTTCAAGAAACTACTCTATTTGTTACCCTTTAAAGCAAAACTCCTTCAAGAGACAGAAAAACAAAACAAAACAAAACAAAAAACTGCTTATACATGCCATCTCAATTTCCTCTTCTCCTATTTTCATGAATTTACTCTAATTAGGTTTTCATCCCTATCACTCTACTGATAATTGTCAAGGTCATCAATAACCTTCACACTGGCAAATCCAATATTCATTTCTCAGTCTCATCTTATTCAACCTATCAGTCACATTTGACACAGTAATCTATCCTCCTTCTTGAAATACTGTTCTCTTGCCCTCTGGGACACACTTATCTCCGTTCTCTCACACTAGAAAGGCCACTCCCTGGTCTTCTTTGCTAGTTGGCCAACCTGTAAACACTAGAGTAACCCAGAGCTCAGTACTCAAACCTCTTTTATCTTTAACTGCACTCATTCCCCAGGTGAATGATCTTACCTACTTCTGATTTTAAATACCAACTACATACTATTTACTAATAAATTTGTATTTATAGTCCTGACCTCTCACTCTTGAACTCCAGCCTCATATGCCCAGCTCTACTCAACATTTCCATCTGAATGTCTAATAAACACTTCAAATTAACACATTCAAAACCAATTCTTTATTATCCCACTTAACCATGCTCTTCACAATCTCAATAAATGGTAACTGAATTTTTTCAGCAATTCAGGCACAAAATCTTGTAGTCATTGTTGATTCCTCTTTCTCTAATATCCAACTCATCTTGTCAGCTTTTCCTTCAAGACACTTCCTGAGGCTGACTATTGCTCACTTCCATTCCTACAATATAGTACAAGCCACCACTTATCTAAACAATTATAACAGTCTCTCACAGTCTATTTCCCATAAAAGCAGCCAAAATGATCCCTTCAAACATAAAGTGGATCATATTACTCCTCGGCTCAAAATCCTCCAATGACTTCCAAACTCTGCAAAATAAAAGCCAAATTCTCACAATGGCCTACAAAGTCTTATCTGCTGGTCCTCTGCTAATTCTCTGGCTTTGTCTACCACTCTCCACCCTTCTCACTTACTTCAAGGACACTGGCCTTCTCAGTTTTCCTCAGGATACAACAAGCATGTTCTCAAATCAAGTACTTTATACATGTGATATCTTGAAAACTGTTGCCTGAGATTAATCTCATGGCTTATCCTTTATTTCCTTCAGGTTCCTACTGAAATAACTCATGAGAGAACTTCCCTGTCTACTCTAAATAAAACAGCACACCTCTCCCTCCTTCCTCCATTATTCTCTTAACCCCCTTACTCTGATTTTTCCCATAGCACTTACCATCTGTTACCACATGTTAATTTGTTTTTATCATTATTAGAACAGTTTCTTACACAGGATAGGAAATCAAATAATTATTGAATAAATGAATGAGTGACTTAATATTTCTTTTCTCTGAGCATTTATACTTTGAGTTCTACAGTTCCTAGTTTTATAGAGAAAACAGATATCCAGACTGAAAGCCACAGAGGAAAGCCTGATCCCATTTCCTGGGACTAAAGACAACAGCCCAAATAACTTGAAATAGAACTGGTAACACTTACTCTCAGAGGGTTTTCATTGAGGTATGGGGGCTCTCCTTCAATCATTTCAATAGCCATGATGCCCAGGGACCAGATGTCAACCTTGGGCCCATAGGCCTTCCGTGTCACAACCTCTGGTGCCATCCAGTATGGGGTTCCCACCATGGTGCTTCGTTTGCTCTGCTCTGGGGTTATCTGTGCGCAGAATCCAAAATCAGCTAGAAAAGGAAAAAAAGAGAAAAGATATACATTTAGTGTACTAAAGTGTTGACTGTGTGCGTACCCCTAGGTATCAAGCTGTGCCTGGCTCCCAGCTCTGCAGTCACTTGTATCTCCAAAGTGGGAGTCACTTGACTGCCACCTTCGTGTCCAGCTCCTAGCCTATTCCCTGTTCAGCCCTGAAGAGGAGGAGGAGGAATATAAGAAACATCACCTCTGGCCACCTACCCCTCCCTCAAGCCAGAACAACCAGGCATTAAAGTCCAAGCTGCCCACTATGGCCTCAATTGCTTGCCCCAATTCTTCTCTGTTCTTGAAAATCATTCCCATACCTAGAATCTGGCAACTAGGTCCTTGCCTTATTCCCTGGGCATGAGTCCCTGACTGAAGCCTCAAATCACATATGACTAGGCATGTCTGTGCTTTTATCAGTTTCTCACCCTGTACTCCAGGCCAGAGGCTGCTTACAGTCCTCCCATAAATTGTCCATCCACCTGTGACACAGCCAGTTTGTCTGAACTATCAGCCTTTGCACCTTTGAATAAAATGTCCTGCCTGCAGTTCTTTTCACATTATATTTCAATTATAAATTTATTTAAATTAGAGTGCTGTCTTTGATAGCAAGGAGTATGTTGTCTTACTCATCTTCATATTTCCAGAGGGCTGACATACAATAGATACTCAATAAAAGTTTCCTGAATGAATAGCTGAAGAAAGAAATTACACAAAACTCTTTTTTCTAATTATCTATTACATGTCTCTTGTACTAGACTGAGAACTCCTTGAAGACAGGCAAAATGTACCTTCAGGGCCCACCATAGAACCTAGCACAATGTAGGCATTAAACAAAAAAATTGGGGGGCTGAATGTATAAATGAATGGGAAAACAATGAAATGACACTATGATAATACTGAGGCATTTTAAGAGCCCATATATCCCACAAAATGATAAAGCCCCTTTGGTATTACAGTACTATATATGATTATCATCCATAGGAGATAGAACACCATAGGGAAAGTAGTATCACTCCTAAGACTCCTACTTACTTAGCTTGACAGAGCCATCCATTCCCAACAGAATATTGTCACTCTTGATGTCTCTGTGAATGACCTGGTTTGAATGCAGAAACTCCAGAGCCTGCAGACACTATTGAAGTGGTGTGGGCGGAGGGAGAAAGAAAGGACATATAATACAGAAGACAATATAAAATCAATTCAACCTCCTCATTTTAAGATAAAGGAAGTAAGGCCCTAATGAGTAAAAGGACTTGCCCCAAATCAGCAGCAAAGCCAGGTCTAGAACAAAGTCTTCCCAGCTAAGCATTCTTTTAACATTCCATGCTGCCTTTTACCTTATAATAGTTTTTTTAAGTACAGAAGTTCCTCCAATGTATTTTGGTGGTTTTTTGTTTTGTTTTGTTTTTACAGTACATTATATCCTTGATAAAAACCCTGAGGCCCAAGAAAAATTACTGAAGAATGGAAAGGATTTCATAACTGCAGAACTGAAGGAAAACAACAAATAAGAGTCATGAGTGGGAAAGCAGGCCTATGGAAGTGATGTTGGAAGCAGTGAGTTAGCAAGATAATCTTATTTTGGTGAGGAGATACTGTAGAGGGTTAGAAATCTTGATTCTCATTTGATTTTTAGAAAACAGTTTTTAGGTAATGCATGTATGGGGCAAAAGCCCTCGATGTGGGGGACAAAAGTCCACAGATAGCGTGGCAAAGGCCCATCTAATCAATTCTAATCACTGTTCAGGGATGGGATTATGTACTTTGACTATTTAACATATTGATTGTTGTTAAAAGATGTTGAAAGAATTGCTGTAGGGAAAAATGTGAGAAAATGTTTGCTAAGGGCAAGCTGTTGGTGGAAACTTTAGAGACAATTATCATGAGAATGTAACTTTTGCTTAAATCATTTGGGGAAAGGTTATATTTTGGATTAGATAATGATCGCAGTTTGATCAATTTAGTTTTTCAAAAATTGTACTTTGGAATGTCACCTTGTTAATTTAAATGATGTTACTAGTTTCTATTGTTTAAGCTATACTTAGCCACAGTTAACTTTTGTCACATTGCCCATGTCTTTGTGTCCTCTTGAAATGATCGAATCAACTCATTTTTCTTGTGAAACTTCCTTGTCTTTACAATAAAAAACAGAAGCTAACTTTGAATTGGGGCTGTACCCAATTTTCTCCTTTTAACAGAGGAGTTGCTGAGGTGCAGTCCCTTAGGGCTTCTCATTGCATTCACGTTCCTTTGAGTAATCCTTTTTTGCATCTCTGTTACACAGTGAGAAGTGTAACAAGATAATGTTTACTATTTTAGATATGCTGAATTTGACATAACCTATGGAGCATCTGAAGACAAATGTCCAGTAGGCAACTGAACTTATGAATCTTAAGTTCCACACAGAGGTAAATATTTATAAGTAATTTGTGAAGGTTTTTTTTTTTTTTTAAAGTATAGGAATGGTTGAAACTGTCAAAGAATATGGGAGAAAGGGAAGAACCTTGGAAAACATGTATACTTAGCAGGCAGAATGAATAAAAAAGAGATGGAACAGGACAATTTGAATGCCTGGTTCTGTCATTACCTAACCAACTACAACATTCTGTTTTCCCATCTGTAAAATGTGAGGATCACATGAAATAATTCTGGCTTTTTTACTATATCCAATACTTTTAGCCCATTAACCAAAAGCTAAATTTTTAGACGCTTCTCCCAATTAAAAACCACTAACGATGCAAATCAATAGAAAAAATACTACTTAAATGGTACTAACTTAATACTTTACTTTTGAAGAACATACTAATGTCCAAATTAAGATTAAGCTACTATTTCCCTGAAAATGTAAGAGTCGCTCTTCTTAGGAGGCTGGAGACACATGTCTCTGGATGTCAAAAATTATGATCAAAAAGGATTATCTTAAGAAATTGGAACCCTTATACACTGCTGGCAGAAATGAAAAATCATATAGCTACTTTAAAAAACAGTTTAGTACACCCTCAAAATGTTAACTATAGAGTTGCCATATGACCAGCAATTCCACTTACAGGTATATACCTGAGAGAATAAAAACAGATGTCCACAAAAAAACTGGTATATGAATGTTCATAGCAGCATTTTTCATAATAGCCAAAAAAGAGAAACTCAAATGTCCATCAACTGATGAATGAATAAATAAAATGGAATATTATTTGGCAATAAAAAGGAATGAAGTACTGACACATGCTATAACATGGATGATCCTTCAAAACGTCATGCTGAGCAAAAGAAGCCAGTCACAAAAGAGCACATATTATTTGGTTCCATTTATATAAAATGTCCAGAATAGGCAAACTATAGAAACAGAGAACAGATTAGTGGGTGAATAGGGAAAGGAGAGTCAGGGCAGGGAGATACAAGGAGTAATATTTAAAGGGTATGAAGTTCCTTTTTGGGATGATAAAAGTGAACTAAAATTCATTATGATGATGGTTGTATAACTCTATGAATATACTAAAACCAGTGAATAACATGAGGGTACTTCAAAAAGTTTGTGGAAAAATAGAATTAAAAGATAATACATGGGCCGGCCTGTGGCTCACTCGGGAGAGTGCGGTGCTGATAACACCAAAGCCCCGGGTTCGGATCCCATATAGGGATGGCCGGTTTGCTCACTGGCTGAGCGTGGTGCTGACAACACCAAGCCAAGGGTTAAGATCCCCTTACCGGTCATCTTTAAAAAAAAAAAAAAAAAGATAATACAAAACTTTCCATGAAGTTTTTGAAGTACTCTCATATACTTTTGTTGTTGTTGTTTGTTTTTTTGTTTTGGGGTTTTTTGGTGGCTGGCTGCTACGGTGATCCAAACCCTTGACCTTGGTGTCTTAACACCACACTCTAATAAACTGAGCTAACTGCCAGTCCCTCGTACACTTTAAATGGGTGAATTATATGCTGTGTGAATCATATCTCAATAACACTGTTTAGGGCCGGCCCGGTGGCGCACTGGATAGTGCGCCGCTTGGGAAGCGCGGCGGCGCTCCCGTCCGAGGGTTCGGATCCCACATATAGACCGGCTCCCGCTCACTGGCTGAGCGCGGCGCGGGAGCAACGCCGAGGCTTGCGATCCCGTTGCCGGTCCCCGGTCCGGTACGGGGGCAACACTGAGGGTTGCGATCCATTGCCGGACACGGAAAAAAGACAAAAGACAAAAAAAAAAAAAAAAACACTGTATAAAAAAAGGGGGGGGGGATATGATATCTATTAGAACATAAGAATAGTAATGCCACCTATTTACATAACATTTAAAATTTTTCTGAGCCACCAGGCCCACACGCCTTGAGCCAGCTATGCTAGAACAGGTAGGTACTGTGGGACTCCCAGTCCAGGCTAGTCCCCACTGCCCAGAATTAGCAGCCCCTTCAGGATCCAGGCAACACATCAGGGTGGAACAAGTGGACTGTGATACCCCCTGCCACAATGACTAAACACCAAAGGAAAGATACCAGAAATATGAAAAATCAAGAGAGTAAATCACCACCAAAGGAAAATAATAATTATCAAGCTCTAGATACTATAGAACAGGAAGTCCTTCAAATGACTGAAATGGGATTTTGAGCAACAATTCTAAGGAAACTAAATAAGATACAAGAAAACACAGTTAGACGACACAATGAAATGAGAAAAAATATACAGGATCTGAAAGAAGAAATGTGCAAAGATATCAGTGCCCTGAAAAAGAATGTAGCAGAGCTTGTACAGCTGAAGGATTCATTCACAAAATAAAAAACACAACAGAGAGTCTAACTAGCAGGCTAGAACAAGCAGAAGAGATAATTTGTGACCTTGAAGCCAGGCTGTTTGAATTAACCCAGGTGGGCCAGAAAAAAGAATTTAAAAAATTGAAGAAAATCTAAGAGAGATAACAGACAACCGTAAGCACTCAAATATCCAAATCATGGGTATTCCAGAAGGGGAGGAAAAAGGAAATGGCATTGAAAACATATTCAAGGAAATAATAGCAGAAAGCTTCTCAGGTATAGGGAAAGTCACAGATCTTCAGATTCAGGAGGCCCAAAGATCCCCAAACATATTCAACCCAAAAAGGTCCTCTCCAAGACATGTTATAGTTAAACTGGCAAAACTCAAAGACAGAGAGAATCTAAAAAACTGCAAGAGAGAAGTGGCAAGTCACCTATAATGGAGCCCCAATTAGACTAACATCAGACTTTTCATCAGAAACCCTAAAAGCCAGAAAAGAATGAGATGATATATTCAAAATACTAAAGGACAAAATTTGCCAGCCAAGGGTGCTTTACCCAGCAAGGCTATCCTTCCAAAATGAAGGACAAATAGTATATTTCTCAGACAAACAAAAACTGTGGGAGTTCACTACCACATGACCAGCCTTACAAGAAATTCTCAAGAGAGTACTGGGTTTGATACCTGAAAAACAACCATCACTGCCATGAATACTCAAGAAAGAACAATACCTACCAGCAAAACAAAAATGCTAACACAAGAGAAAAAAGGTAGTTTATCATCTATCACCCCAAGAAACCAACAAACACAGAAGACAAACAAAATCAGAAAGAAAGGAACAAAAGATACTTAAGACATCTAAATAAATATCAATAAAATGCTAGGAGTAAATCAACACCTTTCCAAATAATAACTATTACCAAATAATAACTCTAAATGTAAAGGGATTAAATTCCCCACTCAAAAGACACAGACTGACTAACTGGATTAAAGATGGAACCAACAATACGCTGCCTTCAAGAGACTAACCTCATCTGTAAAGACACACATAGACTAAGAGTGATAAGGGGGAAAAAGATATTCCACACAAATAGAAATGAAAAATGAATTGGAGTAGCAATTCTTATATCAGATAAAGTAGACTTTAAACCAAAAACTATAGAAAGAGATAAAGAAGACCACCATATAATGATAAAAGGATCTATCCATCAAGAAGACATAACAATCATAAATATATATGCACCCAACGTAGGAGCAGCCAGATTTATAAAGCAAACACTATTAGATCTAAAGTATGAGACAGACATTAACACCATAATAGCAGGGGACCTGAACATCCCACTCTCAACATTGGACAGATCATCTAGGCACCAAATCAACAGAGAAACACAA